TGGATCTTGTTTCTTCTCAGTGTGGGGTTGCTATCTGTCTTGATCCACACCCCGGCCATGGCGTTGTCAAAGATCTCATTGTCCTCGATGAAGCCCAGACCTGTTAGATTTAAACAGCAAGATTAGAACAGAAGTAATTCCACATTATATAACAGACTTAACAGCGCGGCAGCGTAAACCACACCTGAGTTGTACACTAGAATCCCTCCGTTTTGGCCTCCCCATATCTTGTTGCGCCGGATTTTTGGGTTGCTTCCCGTCCTGTCAAGATTCATCAGCAATCGTCAGAAAATGTCTAAAAAAAGAAAACTGCAAAAATCAGTAACACGTCAAAGCCTTGAGAGATAATCGTTACCTTATTTGTACGCCAGAGTACATGTGATTGTAGATGTCATTGTCTTCCAACACACCGTGCCCGTTGTCATAGAAATAAACGCCAACCTGACAAAAAGAACACAACAAAATAATAAATAAATCGGACATATATATATATACATAAGGACAATGAAATTTTGTCAGATAAAAACGCACCATGAGTAAGTTGTAAATATATAGATTCAATTTAGAAAAAGGAAACACAACAGACTAGTGGAGACCTGAAGTTCGGGACTGTTTCTGATTCTTGGAATATTCAAATATATATTCCCTGGAGCTATTTGGGAAAAGGTGAATCACAATATTTACTATCTGCATAACTGGAGCAACTGAAGCACTAACCATAACCACATCTAGTCGCTCTGTTGTCAAGAGTAATCAGATTACCAGAATACTCCTGCTCATGTAGAAACCCTTAAAACAAATACTCAATTGAGTAACTTGTCCCTCTAAATGTTAATCATTTCCAGGCAAACTGAGCAATTTGATGGTTTTACTCCCTCCTGTGTGCTGCGATTACCCGTTTTATATCAGGATACCCTGAATATTCTTCTTTTTTTTTGACATAATTAAGACATCTTAAAATGTCACTGTGGATTCTGAACCATAAATGATCAGGAAATACTGAAACTACGGCTTTCCTATTAACTTATACAAAAAAATTAATACAAGTTTATAAAGTGTCATCTCAACTACAACTATGATATTTACCAAAACAGGAGTTTACAGCTCAAAGGATGGTTTTGTAGAAATAGATTAAACACAGTTTTTAATGGAGAATCTTCATACAACTAGGTGTAATCTGTGTCAGGGCAAGTCACACTGAAACTGAAAGGTTCAAGATTTTTCTTGTTTGTTTTAGGTTCTGACACACCCATATCATTACAGGAAAGCTGAGCTTAAAAAAACCCCAAAAAAACACCTGAAACCCAGGACATTTTCTCAGTTAACAACCTATCTGAGGGACTTAATCGGATCATTTCAGGCCTTATACGTGTTTTAGACGGTGTCTTTTTGTACCTGTTTGCCACTGTGGATGCGGTTCTTGCGGAGGACGGGAGTGCTGCCTGTGGTCACCCAGACTCCAGCCAGTGTGTTGCTGTAAACCTCGTTCTCCTCAATCACTCCCTGACCTTTCTCATGCTGAAACACAGAGGAGGACCAGCTGTCACAAAGCCTTTATTAAAAACTGAAAGATTATCACTTGCTGGAAGAGGGTTACATTCAAGGCAATATCAAATAGCCAACAGATGTTTCATATTTGCATGCGGACTGCACTTACCACGTAGATGCCCCCATGCTGGCCATCGTGGATCTTGTTGTGCCGTACAATGGGGCAGCTGTTGGTTCGGATCTGGATTCCCGCCAAAGCGTTACCATAGATGTCGTTACTCTCTATCAAACCCCGACCGTCTCCAAATATGTACACCCCTCCTTGGTTACCGTTGAATATAGCGTTTCCCCTGCATTTAAAGACAAAAACAAAGTCAAGAGTCTTGGAAAAAAATACATCTTTAGACCACAAATGCTTCCAACTGTGACGTCTGTGTTCTTACCGTATCGTCGGGTCGCTGTTGGACGTGATCCACACACCAGCAAAGTTATTGGCATAGATTTTGTTCTCTATAAACTGGCCCCGCCCCTTCTCGTGGACGTAGATGCCTCCCGTCTGGCCGTGGTGGATCTCACAGCGCACCACAGTGGGGTTGGCGTACGCCTTCACCTCAAAGCCCGCTATGCGATTTCTATGGATATTACAGTTTTCGAAGTAACCCTGGAACACAGAAAGAGCAGATAAATTAAGCTTCTCTGTGATGTTTCTTCCAGTCAAATGTGAGACACGACATAGTTGGCAGTATTTACCATGCCGTGATCGAAAGTGAACACTCCGACGTCCCGTCCGTGGTGGATGTGGTTGCGTCTGATGATGGGGTTGCCGTGGTTTTTCACCCAAATTCCCGCTAGCGCATTGTTGCTGATTTCGTTGTCTTCGTAAATGCCCTGAAACGAACAAACAAAACGTAGGTGTGAGAAGCAAAGTTGGTGGAAATGTGTTTATGGCAAATAGGTAAGTGTTATTATTTTCCTTCTTACCTGCGCGTGGTCTGTAATGTACAGTCCTACGTTCTCACAGTCGCTGATGTTGCAGTGCTTGATGGTTGGACAGGCTCCCTGTCCACTCACGCACACAGCTGAACCAACTACACACAAAGGAAAACACAATTCACACAACAGTAGGGCTGCAAGTAATGATCGCTTGCATTATCGACTCACAAATGGCGATCAATCCCCCCCAAAAAACAGGGTTTTAAGAAGACAAGTGAGCAAATCCTTACATTAGCAGATGCTGAAATCTACAAGTTTGTCACTTTTATTGAGACTATAATAGCCGTCATAAATCGGCACCACTTACATGCCCAACATAATGCATGTACACACACTTTGTCCTGCAGTGTATCAGACACATGGATCAAGACACGCTTAACACTATCAGAACTGAAGCAGCCAAACAGTAATTTAGCACTAATTTAAATGCACCTTATTTAATGTATAGCATGCACTGAGCAGTCTGAAAACTTGCACTGCAGAGCAACACATACATAAGAAGACAAAAAAAAAACAAACAGAAATACTGCTGGCGTATCAGTATTTGCAAAACGGATGGTGGCTGCACTGCTGCACTCCAACACTACACTTATTAACAAATACATCAAAGGTCAATCTGGAAAGATGTGGTTCCACCGACTATAAATCACTCCCAAGACGTACGATTTATCGATCCTGTGAGTGTGATATGACATTTCATGGTACATGCTTTTAATACAACTACAAATGTAACTAGGTCACATGACCCAGACTGCGAGAAACTAAGCATCAATACACGAGGAGAATTACACCGTGCAAATTATTGGCATTGCTTTCTCCAGATTTCCCACCGCTGCAATCCAACAACCCACTTTTTTTTTTTTCCTCCATCAGTGCAAACAATGGGATTAACACGAACTGTCACAATAAAAGCAACTGCCAAAAAAATGTACTATTCCAGAGTTCTTTAGCTTTCAGACCAAGATCCAAATGACAAATTTAGTCTCTCGCCCCAGGACACAGCGACTGTTTAGTATTATATAAAAATTAGGGACACCATGTGCTTCTAAAATCGACACAAAACCACGAAGCACCACACAGTGTCACAGAAAACAACACAAGACCCTTGCAGCACATCCTATTTTTGTGAAACTGATATTTCATGTGCCAGCGAGGTACCGGCTCAGCCGTATTTACTCAGGCCGTACAGGTACAGGTGTTCATCCCATCGCCGTATCTCAAGAGGTCAGTGTGCGCGACGCACCTGTGCACGTGGACCGGATGATGCAGTGGTCGATGTTAGGGCTGCAGTTGACTGTGATCTCCAGACAGTGGTGGGCGTTATGGTGCTGTGCTGACTTATCATCAGGATTAAACTGAGGAGAGAAGAGCAGCAGAAGTCAGACAGGGGCCACGATTACTGACAACACATCAAGCTTCCGTCCACCCACCACGTCCACAAAGGACCCTTCCTACTGGAAGCATTAAGCCACTAATACCTCAGTCTTATAACAGGACGCAATCAGGAAATAGTAATATGTCACACACCAAGACAAAGTAATCAATGTGGTATCATATAAAGCACGAGCCGAATGAAATCCAAAATATCTTTACATTTGTCAGAAAAAAAAGGCACCAGACTTTCTCAAAATAAGTTGAGACTAAAAATGTGCTACAGCGGATTGAACCCTCAATACAAAACAACAGCTTTGCTCTTTTGGGCTGAAAAAAAAAAGGTAACCTTTCCTGCATCAGTCAAACACAATCTTGCATTTAGAGCAATTGTATTAAAAGGTGTGACTAAACTAGTTTATTACACATCCATGCGTCTCCTGCCCCCACAGATCATATCCCAGCTTAGGTTCTACAAACAGCTGATCAAGAAAAATAAAAATTCTTCACCACAAAGAAATCATGACAAAAAAAAAAAAGAACAGCTTTGAGTCCATGTCAGCCCACAGTCTTTTAAAAGTTCAACACAGCAAAGAATCTTATAGTTTGGCCTTTTCCAATCCAAAAAAACGCAAGGGAGGGTTTTCCTAGATGACTCCACCGTTAGAGTTTGCTATCTGGAGTCCATAAGCATGTTTACAAGACCCATGGCTCATTTGTGATTCTTGCTTACGTACACGTTCTCTTCAAGCCACACAGAAAAGCAGTAAAAGCAAGGTGTATTATTACCTTGATGGTCATGTACCCCACATACGCATCCTCTGAGCCCTCCATGAAGACAAACGTTGAGTCTCTAGTATTCTCTATCACCACCTTGTCTGCTACTTTACCAGGGGCTGACGAGAAAGCAGAAAACGCTCATTAACACCCATGTATGTGTGGAACGTAAACACAGCTGCGTGTGAAATCCCCTTTTCGAGAGAAATATTGATCGCATGCGGCACAGGCATCAAAGTAATGTCTTAAGTACCTTTCAGTGAAGGAAACCTGCTTACCTGCACCAATCATGGTGATGGGGGACTCTATATAAATCCACTCATCTGTATAGATGCCAGAGTGAACGAAGATGAGGCCATCAAAGTGGGCCTCTTGTACTCCGCCTAGCGCATCCTCAATGGTGTCATAATACTGCAGGAGGAAGGCACCAACAGTTTCAGGCAGAATACACACATGCTTACAACTCATCAGAAGGCAGTTTGGAAACACAATGAGGTGTTTAAATTAGCTATGCAATGCTAAAATTAAAAAAAAAAGATTTTTCATCAGCTGCAAGGTTTTAACTTACCAGCATATTCTCTCTGCCTTTGTATCTCCCAGGGTTACTGTAGAAATGCTCAGCAAAGCCCGGTTTTACATGCGCACCTTTGTACTGCAACACAGGAAAAAACCAAGGTCAGTAGATGTTGTTGTTCATGTACATAGTCCTTAAACAACACGGGAATCTAAATACCTTTTTCAAAGCAGAAGAAAAAAAAACACTTAATTCTATAATACAATTTTTGCAAATGTAAAGGAAGGTTTTTGAAAAGAAAACAACAGTTAGCTATCCAGTGAAGTGCCATAAGATGTGAAACAGTCAATGCACATCAGTGGTTCCTGGCTTCTTTTTGTTTTTTTTTGGCTTGTGATCCTTTAAAACAAAGCAATACCTACTTATGACTGCTCTTCACCCACTGCATATGTCCACTGGTTGTGAACAGGGTGTGCATTTCCGGCATGTGTTAGGATTAGAAGCAGAGGTACAGTTTTCCCATGATTCATTAACAATAGGTCTGACAAACTAACCATACTTTTGGGTATCAGACATGCCTTGTTTCTGGTTCCCGCTTGATAACCATCTTGCGATGCATCTGATTTATGTGACAACCCCAGGCAACCCACAAAGCAACCACAACACAACAACAACACATGCAGCATATGTACCAAATTTAACAACGATTATAGAGGGACTTGCAATAGATCCAACCGCAAGACACTGCATTCTCAAATGTCTTGACATCCCAATTACAAGGAGCTTATATCCAGGAGAAGGACGCAGGGGCTTAACTAATGACTACAATAACCAAACTACAATTTGCATGACTGAAATCACTGTTTCGTCTTCACTTTTACGTTTCCTAATGCGTTCTAATTAAAAAAGCAAACATCTTCTCCTCCCATTACGCGGAGTAGTTCCGACTTCACAACAACAAATTTAACTCGTGCAATTGTTGACACGGAGCAATATAGTGATCACATGACCACATTAAAATGATCTTTCTGTGGATGAACTGAAAGCGTTCACTGTGAGACTGGAATTCTGAGAAGCACTATATAGGAAGCCACAAAAGAAACAGAAGAAGGAATATTTTGTTATTGAAATGCTTTCAGCTGCTTCATCAAGCATATTTTTGCAAGTGCTTGTGCTAGTTATAGAGTCAAATGACAGCTATGCTTCCATTTATCCCTGTACAAACTGTGACATTTCAAAAAGAAATACACAGACAACATCTTTTTTTCCTAATGTGTTCAATTGGTGTGTGCAAAGCGTTTTAACTTAACAGTCTATTCCCATTGTTAAGACATTATTACCTTACTGACTGGCATGAATTTTATTGCAAAGCCATATGCCGCTTTCCAAAACTGTATTTTGTTTACTTTTAATATATAGTGAGAAGATAAAAGTAAAATAAAACAAATCAGGTCATTGCAAAGACATTGAAGTGCCTCAGAGAGCGAAAAGACAGCATCAGAAACCGTGTAGACCAACTTACCAGCTGCTGGAAGCTCTCCTTCCAGGGGTTTGGGTGTTCATGCTCCTCAGGACTGACTTGGTAGAACCTTCCTGGCTCTGGATGCATCATGGGACGTGTGTACTCAAACACCTCCATGTATAAGCGCTTCCTAGAATATTAAATGCCACACACAAAACAAATGTCATTTGTCTGCCTTTTAATGATAGTAATATGCAAAACAGAAACCGAGCAGTTCCAGCTCTTCGGCAGCACTGACCATAGAATGGGATCATTCGCTAGCTGGCTGAATCTTTTGCAAACACAAGCTGCTTGACAAAGGTCTTGTTCCAGTAAGTACGAGAAAATCTTCAAAACAACCTCATCTGGAAGCTTCTGCTGCAGATATTGCTCTGCTGGGGCTGCTAAAAATATACAAATAGACACACAGACACACACACATATACACAATGTAAGTTTAGGGAAAATCTTTTTACTTCAAGCACATTAAACTATGGAGTCATGCTATTTAATGGATTGCATAAGAACACAATTTACCAGCAGACACAGGAAAATCAATAAGAGCTCAAGTAAAAAAAATTAAACACTCTCCTTGCCCAGCTGCAGAGATTTAACACACACCTGGCAGGTCGTGGCTCTTACCGGACACTCGTGCCCGCTTGGCTCGATGGCCAAAGGCCTCTGTTGATGAAGTGGAAGCTCCCTGTGAATGAGAGCAAGCAGGACATAAACTTCATGCCAAGTTCCAAGCATTAACTAATCAACTGGGAAATGTACTGCTCTGTCACAAAATCATTGTTCCTTTGGAGGAGGACACTACCAATCAGCGATTCTCTGTCATTCGCACAATCTCCAGTCTATAGACATGCACACTGCAGTGAAATACACACACACAAAAATTATACACAGGCGCTTCAGTCTAACCTCCATTGGGCCCTTGCTGGGGCAGGCAGAGGCGGTGGCAGAGGCAGCGGCGGTTCTCTTGGGAAGCAGGGTCTTGCGTCGAAGCTGGTAGGGACTGTTCTGAGCACCTGGACCGGACTCCTCAATAGCCATTTCTGCTGCGGCTGCTGCAGGAGCCTCCTCATCTAGACAGAAAAGCGAAAAAAAGATTTGCTATGCATACATCACTTTCTATAGAGGCACTTCAGTGAAGGAAGCTGCAGAATAGAGCGGGGTCATGCTATAGAAATCACTGAGTGTATTTCTGAGAAGCTCAATCATCTCTCTTTTGCTCATTTAAACACCTAAAGTGTCTCTGGGTATTGCAGCAAACATTCAAACCACTGACACTCTCCTCATCATTAGTGACACAATGGTGTACATTTAGCTCGCGTTCTGTATGCCAACTGCGCAGGCTAACAGACTGGGTGATACTTGGTAAGGCAGACAAAGGTTAGTGATTGATAATGGCAGATGCACCCCCTGCAGCCACATCACCAGTCTTACATGTTTAGTTATTCCCGGCAGATATCAGTCAGTGTGCATTTGTCTCTCGGCTTCTGTATGAGCAGAATCACACTCATCTCCTACGGTGCTGTCAAATCAAGGGCCGCAGATGAAGTCGTTCAGACGTGCAGCTAATGGCTAAAAACTGAACTGCGTAGCTGGCAAATCCGCGGTGTAAACAAATCAAGCCACGGCTAGCAGGCAGCGAGAATAAGGAAGGGGATGGTGGCTCAATCTGCGGGCTGCGTTAGCTCCAAACTACAGCCAGTGGCACACAAAATGGACTCGGTGAATTCATCCAAATCACACCGTATCATCTATCACAGCTGATCTGTGTGGCCTCTTGAAGCTGGGGCAGCTAGCTAGCATTGCCCCCAATTCGCTGCTAATGTTTTTGTTAACGTTACACCCCAAAAATGGCAGTCCAAAGACACCGCAGATTTACACCCTCTGAAACGGTAGTGACAGCTGGGAATGCAGCGGCCGAGCAGACACCAAGATTGTGGTTAGAGCGTGTGAAGTCGATCTCTTTACCTCCAGCTGAGGTTACCTGAATATGAGCTATTAATGTTGACCGTGTAGCTACATACGCATTACGTTAAGCGAAGACAACCCCCAACCTCCACCTATCCTGGTAAGCTAGCTAGCGGTGTTAGCTAGCCCCAATCACTCAAGCCAAACAAAGCGCGGCCTGGCCTGAGCTACGGAGCAAGAAGCCTCGGTTTTTCCTGCTGAACTCGCCGCCTGTAGGAATGCCGAACGGGCCAGTAGCACAAAACGAGGGTTACGTAAAGACTGTAAGCGCATGACACGGCTTCGTGCGAAACCACGAGCCGACCGTGGCCTAGCTTACCTCTGTCCCCGTTGTTCCGTTCGGGCTGCACCGGGCGCGGCCTCGACACTCGCCTGGGTCTCCTGTTGGTGGCTCTGACGGAGTTCATCTGGGGAGTTGGTTGTTGAAAAATAGACTGCTATCCTCGACCGCCCGCTGCTAAATTTAGCCCTCAGCCCGAACTGCCACCCGGACAGCCTTTTTCCCAGATACACCCGAACAATTGCGACGAAATACCCGCTGGTATTTGGGGTGTAATCGCGTTTTTTCTCCGTGGTGTCACAGCTCCCCCCGTTTCTCCGCTCGTTGCCAGCTCCGTCTCAGTCTGTAGCAGGAGGAGCCATTAACCCACACGGGAAACAATCGCGAGAAAAAAAGAACAGAATGTCCGTTCGGCCAATCAGACGCGGCGTCTCATAAGCTCGTCCCGCAGCGGCCAATCAGAGGCGTCGTATCAAACGACTTGACAAACCTTTCTGTTGGGGTTCGGAATCGGTCAAGCGGCGATTTAGAGCATCTTTGGATTTAATCAATGTATGGACGCACCGAGGGGCTCTATTACAGTCATATAATATACTGTTTGGACCCCCAGTTCCCACTGCTGCAAGAGCATATATGGGTGAGAGCTACGGCTGCATGTGAGTGCAACGTGTGACTGAGTGACACACTGACTAGGACCAGGTTTTAATGTAAACCAGGCACACAAAACTGAAGCTCACTGATACTGAATGAACAGAAAAAACAACAAGTATTAATCCTGAATTTGTGCAGTAATTTTCCTGCCTCTTCAGGTGCTGACACTTTGCAAAGATATGGATGCAAGGGAGAGATGCCCCTGTTTATTTGGAGGTTTTGATCTTATATTAGAATTATTTCCAAATGGAAGCAGATTTTTAAAGTGGGAACACATGCATTATGATCTGGACAGACACAATTATTGAATGCATTGAAAAAAGTTTGTTTTTTTTCAGCTTTTTGAATTATTTAGATTTTTGTGCACAAGCAATATGCAAATATGACTTATTTGTTTATACTTGCTTGTCAACAATAGCAATTCATTTATAGATTCTAACTAAAAATGCATAATTACTCCAGTTATTGTTGCATCATTGTACTGTTTGCATTCATTTACCTTTAGAGTTTGAGACTCAAATGTTAGATTTTGTGTTGACAGAAAAAGCTACCAATCCTGAATTTGTGTAAAAATCTTTTTACCTGTTCGTGCACCGATATTTTATAAATATATAAGTGCAGTGCAAACCTTATCTTATTATATAAGGTTATATATTATTACTACATATTATTATTGCATATTACATGAATGGAAAGTGGATTTTAAAGTAGGAATACAGGCACTATAATATGGCTAGGTAAGATTAGTAAATTAGATAACAAAAAGTACATTTTTAAGCTTTTTAGAGGGTAATTATACATGTCTAGTAACCACACAATAAGCCAGCAGATTGTTCGGATTAGGGCCTAGCCAATATCCAAGTTTAATTTATCTGTTTATATTTGCATGATAAATTTGACATTGATTCTAATTAAAAACAGAAAATGATTGAAGTAATGTTCTTCACTGTTTACATTCATTTAACCTCACATGAATTCAAGCTGACCACAGCCTTTATTCTGAGTAGAGAACCAAATAATCTTTTTTTTTGTACACTTTCAGTGAGTGTTTGAGTCTCAAGTCTAGATTTTGGGTGAAATTTAAAAAAGCAACTAATTCTGAATTCGTGTAATGATTTTCCTGCCTGTCCATGGGCTGGTAGTTTGTGTCGATATGGATGCAGTGGAAAGATGTGCTGGTTTAAACGGAAATTGTGGTTTTTAAATCTTACTTAAAATTAGAATTAGTTCTAAAGGAAAACAGAAATCTTAAGTAGGAACACATGCATTGCTATCTTTATATTTGAAATTAGTAAATTAGATTGCAAAAATAAATTTTAAGCTTTTTTGAAGTTACTTGTGCATGTCTATGTGAAAACTCTATTTGAAAGCTTAAATAAACAAGGTAAGTCAACAGGATGACTAATTAGCAAAGGTATTTTTGGGGCTTCACTGCATAATCAATATCCAAATTTAACTTATCTGTTTATAATTTCCCCTTAAAACTCTATAATTTAATCAATTGATTCCCTATAAAAGTACACATTTATTCCAGTCACTGTTCTGCACTATTTGTGTCACTTTCATGTCATATGAATTTAAGCTGACGACAGCCTTCTCTCTGAGTGAAGGATCAAATAACAGTGTTTTTTTTGCACATTTTCACAAACAGCATGTGAGTGTTTGTGTGTCATACTATAGATTTTAGGTGGAATGCCACTTTAATAAACACTGTTGCTCAATTAGTATTTTTTTTATGCAAAAGGACCACCAGAGGGTATCGTTTAGCTGCAAACGATTAGGCTGTGATCTGAAAGTACTTAGAGATGCAGCATTATGCTCAGGCTGCTCTGTTACTCTTTTATTTTTTGCAAGGTTTTATCTTTTTTGTTCTGTCTTGAAAGGAAACAGGATGTCTTTTAGTATTTTAACACTCAAAAACAACAGTCAATATCTAGTGCATATGTATTTGAGGACTATTGCAATATGGATGTTTTTTGCTTTAGAAATAGCAACATATAACGTGAATAAAATATATATTATTTGCAGGGGATAGTTGCTTGTCCGAGGAACAGTGCAGTGCTCCGTTTGCAGGCATTGATGTATTAATGTAACCTTGTATGCAGCTAATCTGTGTTAAACCTTATTTATAATGGGCATATTAGAGTTTTAAATAGTTTTTATGAAGACATTTTAGCAAAGAGAAGACAGAAATGAATACATTTAATTCAACATTCAGCCTCTACTTGCCTTTATGTGTGTTTTTGCATCCAAAATCATTTCACCTCACAGTTGTCTGTCGTGAAAGTGTACTCTGCTGTCACATTAAATTGCTGGTTAGCAAATGTATAACAACAATAGAAGTTAGTGACTGTTGCTGACAGCTAAATAGACCATAACACAGCACGGATTTCTCTAAATCCAGCATCACTAGCGCCGCCTGGTGGTTAAAGTGCACAAATGCGCTCACACGTTCAACGTTGGCATGTAGGAGGCAGTGTATCCATATCAATGAGACGGGCTCAGATTCCCTCGTGCAGCTGCAGCCTTGAAACTCGGCGATGCTGCTGAGTGTGTGTGCGCCTTATCTAGCTGCCATATCCACCCTCCTGTAATAAGCAGAAAGAGCAGCTGTGCAGTCTCTCCTCCCACACCCACCCCCCCCCCCCCCCCCCCTTGGGCACAGAGCAGAGGTTAGTGGGGGTCACTTTGTCCTTGAGAGCTTTGGATGCTCTGAAGGACGGCGTCGCCAGATAAAGACAGCTCAAGTATTGTGCATGTGTGTGTGTGTGTGTGTGTGAGTTTTACCTTTTGTCACATCTCACATACACTCATTCACCGTACAAAACCAAGCAGAGAGGACATAACAAGCAGCTTCATGACATGATGTGAAAAAAAAGAGATATATTTTGTACAGATATAAAAAGTCACACTTTATAGCATTTTCATTTCCAAACATAAACATAATTACATTTCAAAGATAATTACAGGTTTTACATTCAAAATACAGAGACGCTGAAGTGATGGAGGGGATTTGGAGGTCTGGAAAGCTACAGCAGACTGAGTGTATGAGGAGATTATTAATCAGCGGGTCCCTGCGGTGTTCTTCTTAATGAATATCATTCAATCACAACATTGAATGTTGAGCGAATGTTGATTTCGTGACGCGCATATGCTGATATCCCAAGCGTCGAACCTTTGTTAAACTGTTTCAAAGTGCTTTAGTTGGTTTCATTATCTTGGGACACCAGATGGATGGTGTTTGTTACATAAGGCGGCGGATGAAGTCATCAGTTTACTACTTCTTCTGCTCTCTCTGCTTTTACTTCTAAATTGTTATGTCGCTGTGAACCTCACCCATCTGGTATTCCAATCAAGCTAAAACAAACACGGGGGTATGTAGGGCAGCTATTTGACCTAGATTTGGTTAAACTATCTGCAGTTGTTCTTGTATGTTTTCTTGGATTGCCACAGTGTGTACAGCAGAGCGTACCCAAAAGGTCAACAAGGTTTAACAAGGACGCTGGTGGTGGGAGGTCAAACATTCACAGTGTTGCAGACAAATGTGGCAGCTACATGTTGTAATGTCTGTATAAAAGAGATAGCAGTATGTGGGGATGTTTCTATTCTTTTGAGTCAATAATCGGGCCTCAAGAGCCAGAAGTTGAATTCACCCCTCAATTATTGCTTTTCAACATTGAGTTATGCTCAATTTAATTTGGCTTATTTTGACAAAAGAAAGAGTCTCTCACGTCAAAGTTTCTACACAGTGATGCCAGTTTAAAAATATAAAAATGTAAAATAAGTGACTGCAAAAGCGTTCACCTCTTTAAAGTGACTCCTCTAATTCAACACGGGTGCAGCCGCATGGTGCTAAAAGTCGTACAGTTAGAGGAATGAGAACAGTCTGAATGTGTCTCAAGCGATGGTAGACACTTGTATCTGGTCACTGGTGAATCGGTACTGCTGGCTGTAGCTACACCATGAAGACAAAAGAACACTCCAAGCAGCTCTGTGAAAAGGTTATTAAAAAAGCATAAGCCAGGGGATGGATACGAGAACATTCCCAACTCACTGAATATCCCTTGGAGTTAAATTCATCATTAGGAAACGGAAGGCACGAGTAGGAAATAGACTAGTGAGGGAGGCCACCAAGACACCAATGACTCCCTCAAAACTGTTGAAAAGCTTAAGCAGCTGAGATGTGACAGACTATGCATACAACTGTTGCCCAGTCTTCACCAGTCAAAGCTTTATGGGAGAGTGGCAAAGAGAAAAAAAGCTCTTATTTAGATTTGAAGCCCTTGGAAGGCTTGTAAAGGTAGAGGGTAAAAAGAACGCAGAAAAATACAGAGAAATCCTGGAGGTCAACCTGATGCGACATGAGAGATTTGTTTTCCAGGACGACAATGGCCTGAAGCACACAGCCAGAGCTACAGAGAAATGGTTTAAAGACAACAAGGTGAATGCTGTGGAGTGGCCGAATCAGAGCTCAATCCAACTGACAATTTGTGGCTGAACTTGAAAAAAGCTGTTCACTCATGATTGCTGTGCAGCCTGACAGAACTTGGGCAGTTTTGCCAAGATAAATGGGATAAAACTGCAGATGTGCAAAGCTTACAAAGTCCGATCCACTAAATACTGACACGAAAGAGGTGAACACTTATGCAACACCTATTAGATGTTTTTAAATAGTTGACTTTAGTTTGTAGAAATCTGGTTTCACTCTGATATAAAAGAGTCTTTTTTTTGTCAAAATAGAAAAATTGTCTATTGACCATGATTCAATATTGAAAAGCAATATAAAAGGGAAAACTCGCGAGACAGAAAATGTTTTCCATAGGCACCATATACGTGCCAAAGACTTGGCAACATGAAGCAGATGTGTGAAAACCAGCAACGTCATCCAAACCATGAAAAGTTGGAGCATCATTTTGGATTGAGCAGCCTCTTTGTACATGACTACAATATGCAACCGTGACATTAAGCGCACCTCCCAAACACTGTTTAAAGGCTTTTCTAACTTTGAGGTGTTCATGCATTACAAATTACCGTATGTCCTTCATCCCCAAAAAGACTTTACTTCTGTCGCCTGAGGGAAGCAGAACTTCTGTGGGAGGAAAACTAGGATCCTCCTGTCGACAAACTCTGTACCTGTGAATATTTGGATGACAGTCAGCACTCCTGTTTCCCATCTAGACTCAGTGTATTGGCCACGGAGTACGTCATTACACGGCTGCCCTTTGGAGAGGTCCACGCTGGCTGCTGACAGGAGGAACTTTCTGTCCGGTAAATCTGTGCCCGCGTCTTAAACAGGCCAAAGCGAGCCGCCAGGAGAAAGAAGTCCCGTCTGAAGGTACGGGTGAAGAAGGCGTACAGGAAGGGGTTGGAGCACGAGTTGATGGGGTAGAAGAGGACCAGGAGGAGTTTGGAGTCGGACACGGTGATGAGAGGAAGCTTGAGGGCGGCCGAGACGGCGAAGAAGGAGATCGGGGCCATGCAGACGAAGTCGGTGAAGATGAGGATGGCCATGCGTTGAGCCACGCGCGTGTCGGCGTGGGCTGGCGCTGACGAAGGCTTACGGAAGGTCAGGTAGATGCTGAAGTAACAGCCACAGACGCAGAAGAAGGCCAGGATGTTGAGGAGGAGCAGGGACACAACGTAGACCTGGGACACCAGAGACTCCACGTCCATGGGCAGGCAGATGCTCACCTGCATGAGCAGACACACAATCAAAAATCAGCGTTCAGGGGCCTTGATGCTCAACCTGAGCTACAAACTTCCCGCTGGACCAGCAGGTTTTATGAGCAGGAACCCAGCAGATACAGCTTCATACTCAGACTACGAAAGAAATTAAAGAACGACAAGTCAACCAATAGATGTCATTCATGAATTATTCTGGAAATATGGCTCTGTTTTTTTTTTTTTTGGCACAGCAGCAGAGCTGCACTCCCGGTCGACATATTTAACATGCGCAGCCTGTAACTGCAATTTTCAATTCCAGCGAGGAACCTTTTGCTGCATCTATCTCCCTGTGTGTCTGCTGTCTCTCTTTAGGCTGCTCTCATTCTATCAAATAAAGACAAGTACTCGAAAAAAAAAAAAATGGAAAAGAAAAGTACGAAAGCAAACAGAAAAACAAAACAAGCTCGAGGAATCGCGTGGAAACGATCAAACTCTGCTGTATTTGAAGGCAGAGCTGGAACAATACAGTTGATTGACAGAATTAATCAGAGACTGTTTTGATAATCACTTAACTGTGAAAGCCTTTTTTTTTTTCCAAGCCAAAAATGTTGAGTTTCCAGGTTTTCAGATGTGAGAATGTGCTGCTATTCCTTCCCTTACTTCACAGTCAATTGATTATCTTTGTGTTTATGACTGTTAGATGGACAACACAAGACATTTGATGATGTTATTTGGGCTGTAGGAAGTTTTTAAAAAATGTTTTACGGACAAAAGACAACATGCATGACTTACATAAGTTTATCCATATGTCAAAGCATATTTTCATGTTCTGTTCCTAATGTGTATGCATCATTTTTGCAGCCCAAATTATGCAAAACCTGTGCACATTCTGAAAGATGTATAAACGCCACCCTGTAAGAAGGTAATCTGGAAAGCACACAGGAAGTCAGGCTAAATGAAGGACCCACTTTTCCGTAGCTGCTGATCCCAACTGTGGGCAGCAACGCGGCCAGCGAGGAGAAGATCCAGCCGGCTGTCATGATGATGCAGGCGTGTCTCAGGCGGAGCTTCCGATCCAGCCGCAGAGCGTGTGTGATGGTGTGCCAGCGCTCCACAGTGATCGCAGTCAAAGTGAACACTGACAGCTCGCTGGCAAACACCTGCAAACGACACAGCAGCACGTTAACTCGCCAGCTGAAACGTTGAGCGTTGTCACTGATGTGGCCGATGACGTCCTCACACACACACACACCGTGAAGAAGCCCGCGGCGTTGCAGCCCAAGCCCATCTGCCAGTCTATGGCGTGGTTGTAGTACCGGCCACGGGTGAGCATGTCTACGGTTGCTATGACGACCAGGTAGATGCCCATGCAGAGGTCAGCGAAGGCCAAGTGGCACATGAGGAAACGAGGAACAGTCAGCTTGGAGCGGGTGCCTGATCACGCAGTGGTGGAGAGAAAAAAAAAAAAGCGTAATGCAGTAACAGTACATGAATATTAGCAGTGACTGTATCAGCAGAACTATTTACTGTGAAGCTGATCAGAGTCACAACGCTGCAGAAAGAACGAATCAGTGAATTTAAAGTAATGTTTGTCTCACAGCTACAAATCCATCCATCATCTCTACACCTTAATCCTCACTAGGGGGGCTGGAGTCTATCCCAGCTGACTCAGGGTGAAGGCAGGTTCACCTGGACAGGTAACCAGTCTATCACAGGGCTAC